AAAAAAAACTTTTTTACTCGTCATCCAAAATTCAACTTTTCACCAAATTTTTAGAACCCTAGAATCAAGTTTTATATTATTTCACACCATTTAAAAATGAGAATCAAAAAAAAAAAAAAGAGAGAGAGAGAATCTTTCTGGGTGTGTTGGCACAAGCCTGTAATACCAGCACTTGAGGGCCTAAGGCAGGGGGATCACCATGAATTTGAAGCTAGCCCTGCTACATAATAGGTTCAAGGCCAGCCTGAACTACACAGAAAGCCCCTGTCTTAAAAAACAAAACAAACAATAATCTCGGCAACAAGACAGGATCATTTACTTCATTATGATAATGCAATTTACTCATAGTTTTTAGTTGTATGTGGGGTCTACTTAGGAAGATAAATGGTAAGGGCCAGAGAGATAGCTCAGCAGACTAAGCGCCTGCTTATGCAAACACAGGGACCAGGGTTTGATCCCCAGGACCACATGCCGTGCTGGCCCCAGAACCACGGGCATGGTGGCACACACCTGTAATCCCAGCACTGGGGAGATTGAGACAGGAGGATCACTACAAGTCTGAGTTGCAAATACAATGGTACCAAATACATTTAAAAAAAAGATAATGATGATACTATAGGAGAAAACCATAGAGCAAGTTCACTATTAACAAGACACATAAAAGATAATTTCCAGGTACAGGATATGGGGATAATAAATTTATTATAATGCTAGTGGTAAATATAATTTTAAATTCATAATCACTGATATCACATACTCTCAAACTAAGCAGTCAACATAATAGTTTTTTTATTATTATTATTTATTTTATTTATTTATTTTGTGTGTGTGTGTGTGTGTGTGGCCAGCTCAGCCCACCAGGGGGCGGAGGATGGCTGGCATGTGGTGCTGGGGGATTGAACCGTGGTCCCTGTGTTTTGCTTAGCTTAGCTTAGCTTGATTCTAAGTAGATGCTTTAGACCACTGAGCCATCTCACCAGCCCCAACATAATAGTTTTAAGACATAAGCAAGATGAATGTGAACTAACCTCTTCCTGAAGCTTCTGGTTAGTTTCTCGGCCATCACCAAGCTCTGCCATCCAGATCCATAACAAAGACAGCCCATGTCTTTCCAAAAAGGATTTCAGGCAGGACTGTGAATGTGTATTCTTTCATGGAGAAGAGAGAGCAGATGCAGGGGTTGGGGGAACAAAATGTTAAAGGAGGACCACAGATAGGACCAAAGAGTTTACCTACACACATTTGTAAGAAACCTTTAAACTCTATTTTCATTAACCCCAACAGAACTATTTAACAAACAAATGCTTTAAAGTAATAGATTATAATTATTTCTGGTATGTTAAAAAATGTGTTTTCTTTCTTTCTTTTTTTTTTTTTTTGCAGAACCGGGGATTGAATTCATGTCCCTTATGTTTGCCAGGCAAGTGCTTATTCTACTGAGCCATCTCCCCGGCTCCAAAAAATGTGTTTTCTGTAATAATAAAACAGGACTTAGTAACAAAAAAAATTATAAAAATAGGTCATTTATAAGCAAGTTCAACTGTACAACTAATGGGAAAATTACATCTACCTTACTGAAAAAACTAAAGCCATACATATTAGTCTTTTTTTTTTCTGTCCCTTTCAGATATTTATTCAAAAGGCTTCTTGCTATTCACTTTTATTATCCAATTTCTTATGACCTACTTAATAAAAAGCGGGAATAAAACTGTTAAAATTCCTTGCTTTAAGATCATATAGAAAAAAAGCTGTGGTATGTTTATACCTAGGGGTTGAGGTGGTTTCTACCAAGTGTCATGAACTGTTACATAAAAAAGAAAAAAATCCCACCATGTTCTCTGTCCAGACAAAGCAAGCAAAGATCTAACATTGATCTCTTCAGCCATCTTTAAGAGTGCAAGGACTGGGGATATAGCTCAGTGGCATAAGCACCTGCCTGGCAAGTTCAAGGTCCTGAGTTCAATTCTGGGTATCAAAAATAAAACAAAACTCCAAGCTTTCAAATTCATAGAGAACTCATATTCATTCAAAAACTAACATTAATTCTTATTAGCTAGACTAGCCCATTCCCCAATTCAGAAGTAAAAAGTAAATTTATATTAAAGTACTCACCTGAATAAGCTTGAGACAGGTAAGTTTCTGCTCCAAAGTTTCAATTCGAACCATTAGTCGGGATAAACTGAGCACCTGGTTTTTATCAGAAAGACCCTCACCATTTTCCATCAGTGCTTCTAGCTCTCCATCTACCTGTCATAGCAATGAAAAACACCTGATTATTAAGAGAAAGCTAACCACTGACTTCAGAATCAAACAATAAGTAGGGTGTGGTAGCATATGTTTGTACTCCTGAACTTGGGAAGCTAAGGCAAGCTCACCAGAATTCAAGGCCAGCCTGGGCTACATAATAAATACGCCAGCGTGAACTTTACTCTACATGAAGATTCTATCTTTAAAAAGGGAGAGGGGGACAGAGCAGAAGCGAAGGTAAGAAATCTTGGTAGTAGGGCCGGGGAGATGGCTCAGTGGAATAAGCGCTTCTCTGGCAAGTGCAAGGTCCTGAGTTCAATCCCCGGTTCCGCAAAAAAAAAAAAAAAAAGAAATCTTGGTAGTGCTATAATCCAGTGTCTGTAATTTGGGTGGTTAAATAGTGTGATCAATTGTGAAATAACTTTAGGGAAACCTAAAAAAAGGAGGCAGAAAATAAAACAAATTTTTCCTTTCATTACTTACGCTTACTAAAATTATTTATTTATAGGTCATTGTCTCCCAAAAAAGATTTACAGAAACTAAAAGCAAACATAAATGTATACAAATGATTAGGGTGTTTTACATAGCACTTAAGTTCCTTGACTTACAGTGGGGTTTGGTCCAGATAGTCTGTAAAACAAAAATATCACCTAATCTACTGAATGTCATACTTTACAGCACTACTACACTATATTATATAGTACTAGCTGTTCACACTCACTCCTCAGTGGCTGGACAGGAGCTGTGGCTCACTGCAGCTGTCCAGAAACAAAAGAGCATCAGAATGTCATACTGGGCTATCGCTAACCCCAGAAAAGATCAAAATTCTGAAGTATAAGATGTGAATAAAAATGCAGCAAGCTGCTGCCAAGTTCCATCTGAAGAGCAGACTGACAAAAGCATGACAGTGTGTCCTTACCTAATTTTTTTTTTTAACCACATTTGGCACAATGTAACATCTGGGTCTCCCCCAAAGTCAAAACCACCATGAAAAGTAAACATTTTAAATTGATTCAGGAAACTAAGGCAGCCACAACAGCACACCTAAAGACACTTAGGAAAGAAGACTTCCAGAACTGATTTGGAGACTGGCAAGAACAATGGAATAGCTATGTTCATGGGAGTATCTTGAGGGGGATTAATGGAAATGTCTTTCACTATATTTTAAAAATTTAGGGCTGGTGAGATAGCTCAGCAGACTAAACGCCTGCTTAGACAAGCGTAGGGACCGGGGTTTGATCCCGGAGACCACATGCCATGCTGGACCCACCCCCTGAGCGCACTGAGCTGGCTGACTGGGAGTGGTGGCGCACTCCTATAATTCCAGTGCTGGGGAGGCTGAAAACAAGGAGATCACTATGAGTCCAAGCTGCATAGTGGAACCCTGTAACAAACAAATACATTTAAAAAAATTAAAACAGTCACCATTTTCAGTCACACACACAGTTCCTAATGAATATCAATCTCACATCTTCACAAAGTCAAAAAATTAAGGTGAAACACAAACAAGGAACTGTCTACACAATTTGTGTATCTGGGAATTTAAGGGCTATTTTAGATACATTTTGTTTCTGTTTTGTTTTGTTTTTTTTTTTTCTTTCAGAACGGGGGATTGAACTCAGGCCCTTGCGCTTGCCAGGGAAGCACTTATTCCACTGAGCCATCTCTTCAGTCTAGATATATTTTGATGAAATATAGTGACCAGACTCAAGGAAAATATTTTATTTATATTTAGGTTTACAAGCTCTGGGAAACTATTGACTTAGGTGTTTTCAAGAATATTTCACTGCAAGCAGGCAGGGCCTGGGAGTTGGAACCCCGGGCCTGCTATGCTAGCCCCGCCCCTGGGGCATATTGAGATGGCAACTGAGACTGGGTATGGTGGCACGCACCTGTAATCCCAGCTCTTGGGAGGCTGTAAGCAGGCAGATCACTACAAGTCCAATCTAGTAGTTAGACCCTGAACACCCTGTAGACCCTTCCCTAAAATACAAAAAAATAAAAATAAAAAAAGAATATTTCAATTGTTCTATATACCTAAATCTAATCTCCATGAATCTGAAGTAAAAAATAACCAACCATACCTCTTTCCAGTAACACCACATCTGATTCTGGTTTCTCTGTTAGTAGAATAATCTCTTAAACTTCAATCAGAAAGTCTATTTCACTTCTTGAAATTTTTATATTGGAAGTTGAAAGAAGAATACTTACTGAATCTTTCTTACGGGATCGTTCCTTTTTCATCTTCCCTCCTGCGGCTCTGATACTGACTCTGTTTTCTCCTCCCAGGTAACCCCGGCAATTAGCTGACCCACAGAAACATTTCTGAGCTTCTTTCCTGCATAGGAAAAGAAGTCAATTATGTGATAGAAAACTGTATGAAAATGCCAACAATATGATAACACACAAGAAGCATATGAGCCTACTGAAAATAAAACTAAAGAGTGATTTTAAGAGATTAATAAATCTGCTATTATCTAATAAAACTGCCTAAAAATTGCTTTAAAAAATTTTCCATGGATGCACCTTGAGACCATGTTGCATGAAATAAAACACGCAAGTTTTACTATTGCATGGTTCCTCTTGAGAGCAAAATTAAAGAGCAAAAAAAAAAGTAAAATTAAAGATAGACAATAGGAAGCAGAGTGTTTTCAAACAGGGGATTAAGGGGCTGGTGAGATGGCTCAGTGGTCTAAAGCACCTACTTGGAACAAGCAAACCACAGGGACCACGGTTCAATCCCCCAGCACCACATGCCAGCCCCGCCCCCTGGTGGGCTGAGCTGGCCACACACACACACACACACACACAATAAATAAATAAATGTAATAAAAAAAAAATTAAAAAAAAACAACAAAAAAAACAGGGGATTAAGAAATGGAGGGAGAAGAGGGAAAAGAAATAACGTAACCGAGATGTGTTGTGTATGCACATATACCAACTCTCCCCCAAGGAATGTAATCATTATGCAAGGTAAGCATGTACTAATAAAAAATAAAAACTGGAAGGAAAAAAAAAAAAAAGAATCCAACAGTATAGTACTCTGCTTCCTCCCAATTGTGTGACATTGAAAAACTGCCTCATTTCCCCATGCCTTAATTCCCCTATCTGTAAAATGGAGCCAATATCAAAGAGGGTTGTTATAAAGACTGACTAGATCATGTATATAATGCTCTTGACATAAAGCCTGACACCCAGTAAACTCAATAAATGCTACCAAAGGTTAAAAATAAAATTTATTTTCTAATCTTTTCCTTGTTAGACAAAATTCAACAATAAATTAAACAGTAATTTCTCCATTTTATGAGAATACTGACTAATGTATGAAAAAAAAGATCACATAAATATTTGGGCTGACAAAAATTGCTTGCGTAGTTCAGATTACTATTTTATGTAAATGTGTAATTGGTGTTTGCAAATATATTTATATATAAATGTTTAATTAGAATAAGTAAAACACATTATTATAGGACACTCAGGAAATGTTTGACCATTGCAAAGTATTATAAGGCTAAGCCATCAAAATAACAAATAGAACAATACTTAAATGTAACCATGGAGACTAGAGAGAATGATGAGAAATAACACAAACCTAAATCTACAAGCCTGAATAGACACACAAAGAATACATAAAGCATACTCAAAAGTAAAAGGATAGGTTTAATATATAACAGTACCAATTAAGAAGCATAAAAATAATTCGGTTTGTTTTTGTAATGTGTTTTGTACAGGGTCTCACTATGTAGCTTAGACTCATAGTTATCCTCCTGTTTTCGGCCTCTCCAGCACTGGGATTACAGGTGTGCACCACCACGCCCAGACTCAGTCTCTGGCTCATTGCACTCAGGGGGAGGGCTGGTGTGGCAAACATAACCAGGTATCAAACCCTAGTCCCTGCACTTATCTCAGCAGGAGCTTAATCCACTGAGCCACCTTGTCAGCCCCAAAATAAATTACTTAATAAATACTGAAGGATGCTAACAAAGCTATGGGGGAAAGAATCCTTCTACACCATGGGTAGGAATGGAAACTAGTACAACACTAGAGAAATCAGTATGGCACATTCTTCAAAAAAACTGAAATTAGAATTCAATTTGGCCTAGCTATTCCCCTTCTAGGCATCTTCCCAAAAAAGTTGAGGATAATCGCATAACAAGGCTGTAAGTAAATGGCACACACCTATAATCCCAGCACTCTTGAGGATGAGGCCAGGGGATTGTCATGTGTTTATGGCCAGCCCAATTATATAGCAAGACCAAGTTTCAAAACACCAAAAGACAGGGCCAGGGAGATAGCTCAGTAGAATAAGTGCTTGCTGGCAACTGCAGGGTCCTGAGTTCAATCCCCAGTACCGCAAAAAAGAAAAAGACAGAACAAAACAAAAAACACCAAAAGACAAACAACAACCCAAAAATCCAGACAGTAATTATACTGATCCACACATACCCATGTTTATAGCTCCACAATGCATAATAGCTAACTCTTCTAAGTGGTGCATGTCTAGTGATAGATGAATGGATAAAGAAAATGTGTTATACACATGCAGTACTTACGTTTAACAAAAAAGGATAGACTTTAATCATTTGTAAGAAAATAAATATGCCTTAAGATCATAATTGCAAAATGAAATAAATCAGACACACAAACTTAAATGTCACATGGTTTCTCTTATATGAGAAACCCTAAATACAGGTAAAGAGCAAAATAAAAACTAATGGGAAATAAGGAGACAGATCTTTCCCAAATGGGAAGGAGATCAAGAGATGAAGGGAAGGGCCGGTGAAATAGCTCAGCAGACTAAACGCCTGCTTAGGCAAGCACAGGGACCAGGATTCAATCCCTGGTACTGCACAACATGCAGGCACCAGCCCCACACTGAGCAGCAAATGAGTCCAGGCATGGTAGTGCACGCCTGTAATCCCAGCGCTGGGGAGGCTGAAAACAGGAGGATCACTATGAGTCTGAGCTGTGTAGTGAGACCCTGTACAAAACATATTAATAAAAAAAAAAAAAAAGATAAGGGGGGGAAGGAGGAAAGGAAAAAGGGATTAAAAAAGAATTAAGATGTGTTATGCATATGTATCAACTTCATACAATGAATAAATGAATATAAACATGTGTACCACAAATGCGCTTATTCCACTGAGACATCTCCCTGGCCCCCACATCCCATTTCTTAGGACAACAAAAACAGAAAAAAATATTGAGCCCTACAAAGAACCTGGTCTGCACCCATTCTGTAAAAACATGACAAGACAAGCACATGGATCCAGCATATGCTTTAGTTTATATGAGATAATCAATCTAAGACATGAAGCATGGTATCTATGAAGGAATATGTGAACAGCTTCACTGCCAGAGAAGCAGTTACTGTTATCGAACTGGACAAAGCAGAGGAGTTATATCCTTGTCATATGCTACCATTAAAAGGGCTCAAATATCCAGGAAACTATTTATGTGCTTTTTACTATCAGCATTGAAAATACCAATTCACTTAAGGAAAGTACCAATTCACTTGGGTATAATCTAGGAAAAAATACTTCTACTAGAGTTTTGTTTGTATCTTACTTGAAGTTTCCATCCTCTCAAATGTACTGGTTTCTTAATAATCAAGAAATCATTTTGTGAGCCAGGGAGATAGCTTAGTAGAATAAACGTTTGCCTGGCAAGTGCAGGGGGTCCTGAGTTCAATCCCCAGTACCAAAAAAAAAAAAAAAAAAAAAAAAAAAATCATCTTGTATGAGGCACAGTACCTTAGAAACCAGACAAAAGGACACAGACACACACATAGTCATACATGGTGATACATGCCTGTAATCCCAACTACTAGGGAATTAGAGAGACTATCCTGAGATTAAACCCCAATACCCCACTCTCCAAAAAAATTGTAAGAAAAATACTTAGTTTTTCCCTTTTTAAACTTTAAACTAATTTTCAAAATCACAAACTAATTCTTTCAGTTTTGATGAATGTAGTTTTATTTTTAAAATGCTGTTAAAATTCATATGTAATGTTTCAAACCACCTCAGTTATCATCCTTGAAATGTTAATAAGAACTGTCCCACTTTCAGGGATATAAGTATTCTTTGTTACTGCATCAGTTACTATTTTAAAGAACAACTGTTCTTTTTTTCCTTTTTGCAGTGTTGGTGATTGAATCCAGCACCTTTGGAATGAACTATATTCCCAGTCCTTTTTGAGAATGGGTCTCACTAAGACACTGGGGTTGCCTACACTTGGCTTGAACTCTATGATCCTGTCTTAGCTGCCCAAGTACTAGAATTACAGGAATGTATCACCACATGCAGCTGGACCCGAAGTCACTGTTGAAAACACAATATAGGTTAAACAAGAGTAATTGTAAGTTAACTGCTAAAGATAACAGATACACAGGGATTATATTATTCTTTTCACACATAATAGGCATTTCTACTATAAAAACTTTTACAGAAATAGTAAAGTATGAAAAAGTTCAGATAAAAATTACTTACTTCCTATACAATATACCTAAGTATAGGAAGTTAGAAGTGTCACACAGTAGGAAAAACCTTAAAACCAAAATAGTATAGACTGGGCCTGGCGGTGCAAGCCTATAATCCCAGCCCTTGAGAGGTTGAAAACAGGAGGATCACTAGAGTCTGATCTGTGTAGTGAGACCCTGTAGGTCCTGTATTAAATATATTTAAAAAATAGTATAGTCTAGATGAAAAGATAGTACATAAAATGTCTAAGTCATTCCCATTCACATTTACATAACTATCTAAAGAGCCTATTTATCTATTGGAAACAGCAAAATAACAGAAATAATACTCACCCATATCTTTGAAATTGATAGTCAAATGTTAACTCTGAGCCCGAAGGAACAAGTTTGGTGGTAAAAAACCCAACTCTTAGTTGTCCATTCACAGTCCACTGAGAATGTTTGAAAAGACAAAAACAAAAAATCAGTAATTAATGTGTGTGAACACTGTAATCACGTGGCTTCATTAAGCATGTGGCTCTTTTTCTTTCAATAAAATAATAAGTTTGCTACTCTTATTAACTAACTATCTATGATGTGTCTCTAATAAAAGAAACTACTAGCCAGGCAGATGGCATATGCCTATAATCCTAGCACAGCAGGTCAGTGAGGCAAGACTGCAAGGTTAAGCCCAGAGTGGACAATTCAGCACCTTAGTAATACCCTGTCTCAGTCTGTCCTGTTACAAATCTGTATATGGTTAGATTTCTAAATTTCTTTGTAAAAATATGTAAATGCTTATTTCTAGTTTTTTAAAATTATTTTTCCTTCATATTCTGTAAGGACTTAAAGTTCAACATATCAAAAAAAAAGTAATACCCTGTCTCTAAATAAAATATTTAAAAGGGGTTGTGGATATAGCTCAGTATGGAGGCCCTATGTTCAATCTCCAGCTACTTGAACACATTCACACACACAAAGATTCACTTCCTCTGAAAACAGGCAAAATAGAAGTGTGGTATATTACTGATATCACAAGGAAATCTACATTAATTTATATCAAAAGAGACTACATTGTAAGACAAAATGGGGTCTGGGAACTGAGACAGATGTCAATTGTTTAAATTCATGAAACTGGTTATATGGTTGAACACAGTGAAAGGGAAAGTAAGCATCAGAATAGACAAATAACTTTCAAAAATTAAAATGGGCAGATACACTGGAGGTAGAACAGGCAGACTGTTCAGAACATGCAAATCAAGGAATGCACTGCACCGTTCAAGCCCATTTGCAAATTACTGATGAAAAACCCAGATTTTAAGGCATACAGTAAAGTGGGAGTCTCAAAGTTAAACATGTGGCCAACCGGATGTGGGAGAATTAGAACTATCATTTAAATTAAATGATTCTAGACTGGGTTTTCCTTTGTTATATGGCATACACAAAATCTATAAGCATACAGCTTAAAGGGTAAAAAATATTCAGGAGTGAAAAGCACTATTTCAACAGGACGGGAAATTATGATAAATATTTGAGTCCATAGCTCAATTTTTTTTTTAATCTGCAGAGGGGGTGTATAGTTTTCTTATTCTTAAATTTATAGTATTTCTAACTTTGGCTATTTAACCTCTGATGAGTGTTTCACGAAGTATCTAAATATGAACGTAACCACTGAATAATACTAAAATTAAAAGTTTAGTTTTATATTTTGGCATCTCTGAAATAATATCCAAAATAATGATGGGCAAGAAAACAATAAAATGCAACACTGAGTTCCTAGGCTGGGGATCCTAAGCTACAAAAATAACAGCCACAAAAATTTGAATAAGGTCTTTTAATTAGGTAACAGTACGCACTGGACATAATCACTGCACTATGGTTCTATATATCATCATCATTTGGGGATGTTAAGGTGACATATGGTTACACACACTGTACTATTTTCACAATCCTATAAATCTAAACTTATTTCAAAATGAAGTAAAACAGATTACAAAAGAAATTAAAAAAATAAAATTCATGAATATTTTTGGCATAGAATCAAAACCAGTAATCTTCAATAAATATCCCAAATTTTAATTCTATCTTAACTTACTTTTTGGGTTTCACAGTTTGGTTCACAGCTGTGATTCATGAAACGAGAGCAATTTCCTTTCTGTGTGGCATCTATTATCTGGAGGAGGATGATAATAGTTTAAAAATGAGACTTAAATTTAAAAGTCATGTACTACATTCTGTTAATGAATAGAATGATTTGTTCTAATGGTGTTTGTAAATAGGATCACAAGTCCGCATCTTGTACAGCAATTAACCACTAAGAAGAATATATGCAGTGTATTATTTGTTGAAAAATAAAAAAAAAAATAAAATAAAATAAAAGTCATGTACTTCGCAAAGGAAAAGCATTAAGGCTAATTTATTTCTCTCTGCTTCTGGAAGATTTGTTAACTATAAACATTTTACACAAAGACAAAATTATCTCTGTTGTATCTGTCAATGTTTCTCCCATTTACTTGTAGCAATTTCTTATGTCCTACTGCATTCCAAACTCATTTTATATGTGCACTACTTCATTTCAAAATGAATGCTATATACTATAGTCCACTACCACACTCTAAAATCAGAATATGTGTCCAAATCCCCAAAGAGTGTGAAAATTTGCTGGGCCAATCATAAGAGGTACTGTGTATCAAGCAAGTCTTGGAGTAGGTCCCTTGAATTTCCATTTCCACATTGAACATAGAAAGAGGGTTGGGGAGATAGCTTGATGGTCTAAGCACCTGCCTGGCAAGCGCAAGGACCCAGGTTTGATCCCTGGTACTGCATGCCATGCTGGCTGGCCACCTAAAGCACCTGTGGTGGCGCACAACTATAATCTCAGTGCTGGGAAATCTGAGACAAAAGGATCACTATGAGTTCAAGCTATGTAGCAAGACCCTGTACCAAATAAATAAATAAATGATTAAAAAAATTTTTTTTTAAGTGAAAAGTATTAATTAGCTGAACTCTACTAAACCAGACATTTAAGAGATTTTTAACATATAAATCATGTAACTTTCCACTAAAAAAAATTTTTGAAGTATTTTCATAACATTGTTATTTGTATTAATTTGTAATGTTTGTTGTTATTTTGAAATGAATTAATATTTTAAAAGTTGTTTTAGTTTTAAATATAATAAATATAACCCAGATTCCAAAAAAAAAGCATGTTGGGGGGTCTTCAATAACTTTTTTTGGCGGAACTGAGGACTGAACTCAGGTCCTTGCGCTTGCCAGGGAAGCGCTTATTCCACTGAGCCATCTCCCTGGCCCTCTTCAATAACTTTTAAGAATTGTTTTTTAAAAAAAAAATGGTGTAACATGAAGCACACTTACACTTATATAAAAACTTGCCTCTCCCATCTTTTTTGAAAACAAAGTATATACACTGTGCACTGTTCTAGCCCTAATTTTTGGTGCTTTAGCAATCAGTCAGTATTAAACAGTTTTTCCAGTCCAACAATTTCCAGCTCTGTTTCAAAGAAAATATATCCATATTGCTCACCTCATCATTCTTCAGGGCCATGAAATAGTAATGAATGTTTTTGTTTCGTGCATATTCCTTTACCCGAGCTTTAAACTCTTTATGATCAAGTACCTCTCCACAATATTCTAGGACAAAGGTGTTCCTGTCAAACAATGAGAAAAAAATATAGCACTTCCTGTCTAGGAGGTATTTGGAAACAGGTACACACACACACATCTAGACAGAAGTACAAATTTAAAAAAAAATACAAAATGGGTATATTTGGGCTCTAGAGAAGCTAAGGCAGGATAATAATGGCAAATCCAAGGTCGGCCAGGGCTACACAGTGAGTCCCAATCTCAAAAATCAACAAGTAGACAAATTTGGTATCACACAAATATAATTAAAATTGTATATTTAAGTATTTTTTTCCCTTTTTAAAATTTTTTTTATATTTAAGTATTGAGCATCTAACCAAGGTTAATTTTTCTTCTAATACTTTTTCACAGAATATCGATTCTAAGAACCTTTTTTTTGGTGCAGAACCAGGGAGTGAACTCAGGTCCTTGTGCTTGCCAGGGAAGCACTTACTCCACTAAGCCATCTCCCTGGACCCTTTAAGAACTTTTTATAGCTTTTATACTTCATATATACCTCTAAAAGTGTATATTCCTTCTCCAGACATTAAAACAAATGTTTGAGCTGAGTCAGGTGTGGTGACAGACACCTGTAACCCCAACACTGGAGAGGCCAAGTCAGGGGAATCATCATGAGTTCCAAGATCAGCCTGAGATACATACTGAGTTGAAGGCCAGCCTGATCATGCAGCAAGACCCTGTCTCAAAAAAAACAAAAGAAAAAAAAGAAAAAAAGAAAGAAAGAAAAAAGTGTGCTTGAGCTGAGGAATGAAGCTCAAGGGCAGAAGGTTTGCCTAGTATATGTGAGGCCCTGGGTTCAATCCCAACCTCCAGGGAAAAAACATAATATTACTACTATGGAAATTGATTCATAGCTAGGAAACAGCTCTGGAAAAACTAATAGGCCTTTCATTCCAGGATAAAAGAAGGCAATGGGCTACAGTTATAGCTCAGGAGCACAGTACATGCCTAGCAACTTAAATATAGCAGCTCTTCTGTCACTTTTTTAAAAACATCTAAAATGATATTAAAAGTCAAATGTATGTGCCAGCCCTGCCCCCAGGTGCGCTGAGCCGGTGATTGATTGAGACTGGGTGCGGTGGGGCAAGCCTGTAATCCCAGCACTTGGGAGGCTGAAAAACAGGAGGATCTCTACAAGTCCCACCTACATAGTGAGACCCCGTGGACCCTGTTTTAAATACAGTCAAATGTAGGGCAACTACACTGAAGATAACAATATGTAATACAACCATTGTTAACTTCCTATCTTGTAATTTTGTATCATTTTTATGTTGCTTGTTTTTTTTTCTCTTTAAAATAAAAATAAATTAAAAATAAAAAGTCAAATCTAAGCTCCACCTACACAGGTGGCCTCACTGTCCGGTAAAGACACATGCAGAATTTGTGTAAGAGAGTTGTAGAGAACAGTGCTCAAAGAGATTTGTGCAGAAGGATACTCCTGAGAATAACCCATACACTTCATCTGATATTTCATGCCAGTCAACTGTAAGAGGATAGAAGTAATTATTTAAAAATAAAAACCCATCTAAAAGGGTATAACAAGCAAAAGTTTCCTGATATAGCCCAAAGGCAGAATGGGTGGTTGCCCATCTCTGCTACAAAAGTTTTATATGTTATCTTCAACGAATGTATATGAAATAGCAACTTTTTATACCATGTTTTGCATTTAGGTCTGCACTGTTTAAACTGTGCCTGCTTTAAACTCTAACAGCATAATGTAGGCCATTCAGGGGAAAACAACCACCACCACCACCTTGGAATAAAGGCAGAGTAAACTATGTAACAAACTTTTCATTTCTATAGAGGCAGAATGATGTCAGAGTTAATGTAAAGCACTGATGGTTCAAATAATTCTGTAAGACATTTTTAAAAGTACTGATGAGCTCAAAATGAGCAAAATTCCAAAATCCAAGCCAAGGAGTAGATGCTTCTCTTATGAGCCAGGTGGAGGTCTGACTTCTTTTACTAACTATCCAAAGGACTTGGCTTTGGTGTGTAAGCAAGTCTCTAATTTATATGCAACTGCACATATGTCACTCAAGGAAAAATGTCTCCAATGGACTTCACCTATATATGTCACTGTGGAGCAGCCCAGACTACAAAGCCAAGATCAAGGCTGATATGGACTATATAGACTGTTGTCAAAAGACGACAGAGAAGAAAAAAGAAAAAAGGAAATGGAAACAAAATTAAGACCTTTTCCGAATGCATTCTGGGAGTTCTAACACTTAGGAATACATATGGTTAACCTCTCTGGCTTCTTTCAGTTACCTTAAACCCTTGTTCTTTCCTTGAAGATCTAAAAGTTCTCTCTCACCAATGACTTCATCTATTGGCTCTATGCAGACAAATGCTTCACTATGCTTTGCTCCAAAGGTCTGAAATGGCCTGCCTAGAAGCCTTAAACCTGCAAAATAAACATGTCCTAATGCTACTGAAGATTTTTAAAAATGCACATCACTTTGTTCACAACATACTAACTAATCAAAATTCTTATCAAAAGAGTTAATCTGGCCAATTGAAAAAAATTAAATCCTCTTAATTTAGAAAAATAAAGCATTTAAAATGAGAAGCTGGGTGGTGCATGTCTATAATCCAAGCACACAGGAGGTTAAAGCAGGAGGACTGCCATGAGTTTGAAGCCAACCTGGTCTATACAATCCGTTCAAGGCCAGTCTACATAGTGAGATCCTGTCTCAAAAAGAGAGAGAGAGAGAGAGAGAGAGAGAGAGAGAGAGAGAGAGAGAGAGAGAGAAATGAACAACTGCATTAAAAAGCAAACTCAAGAACAGAACCAAAAAAATTTAAAGGTGTATGTATATTTCTGCAGCAGCCCAACACAAACATTTAGGCCTCAATAACAAAAATCTACTATTTTTACATCCAACAATTTTCCTTTTAATCAATTTGTAAGTAAAGCAAAAAGATGACAAAATTCAAAGTTTTGTAGTCTCTACCTCTCCAGTCCAAGGAGACAGACCCTCCTCTGAGAAAAAGAGGCTGCCTTATGAATCATGATAATGGCTACTAAGCCCATTTTATGCAGGATATAAAAACTCACAAGTTAAAAAAAAATTTTCTTTCTTACCAAAAACCAACTCTCCTCCTTGAATTTGATCATTTAGAGGTCACTGATGTCATCCCACATAGGTATTATGCTCATGTGACTGATAAGAAAGATTTAGCCAGGCATGGTGATGCCCTACGATCCTGGCAGTCTTGAAGGCTAAGGCAGTATCATAAGTTCTGGGCAATTCAGTGAGAACTTGTCTTGGAATTTTAAAAAATATTTTTTAAGGGTTGGGAATGTGTGACAGAGAGAACAAAAGAAACTGATATGAAAATCATTTTCTATCTTCATAAGAACAAAAGGAACAATTTAACGGGCTGGGGAGATGGCTCAGTAGAATAAGAGCTTCCCTGGCAAGCGCAAGGGCCTGAGTTCAATCCCTGGTTCCACAAAAAAGAAAAAGAAAAAAAAAGAAAGAAACAAAAGGAACAATTTAGTTTTCAAAAGATGTATCTGAAGATCCATGCTAGAAATCCAAATTATTGCCTTCATACCTAATTGTTCTGAGTCTCCACAATAAACAGACCACCCCACCCAACCATAGCCCCACTCCCTGTTCCTACTCCCACTCCAATTTCCAAGGGTAGGTATATGCTCATAGAGTTCTGAAGGAATAATTGTGTCTGAGTTATTGAATCCAGCAAATGTTTCATTTTATTTCTTCCCTTTATTCCATTTATACATTCTTAAATCTGTTCAACCTTAAACACAAATAATATTTAACTATAAAGTAAAGGGCACTCAACTTTTATTAAGAATACTTACACATGCTATAGATTAGAAAACTAGATGTTTAAAGGTAGAAAATGAACCTTTCATTGTATTACACTGAAAAGCTACAGGAGTTGGAGAACCTGTTTCTGTCAATGAATGTTTGCTTTAATCTTTTACATTGGTAAATCTGAGGTAATCTCTTCTACTCTTATCCCAACACAATTTTATGAGTATTAATAGATTTTGTGGTAAAGTTACCTCCTTTTTCATAGAACTCCACAGCAACTCTAGAGCTCTATAGCAGTTAGTATGGTTTGCAACTACAGAAACTGTAACTATCTACCTAGGTATCTGCCTTTTCCAAACATCAAAAGTGACAGAATGTTTTCTGGTACACAGAAAGGGGTTTTTAATTAATTTCCTATAAGTCAATTAAAAAACAAAAAGATACCAAATCATCATTCTGCAAAATAACCAGCATTTAACTTCAACAGAGAAATCATTTTCCTGTAAGACATTTAACCAAGTTTATCAACAACTTTTTAAAAAATATATATATTTTATTTATTTGATATAGGATCTCGCTATACAGTTCAGACTTGTAGTGACCCTCCTGTCTCAGCCTCCCCTATCAACAACTTTTAATAGGGTGATTAGAACATAACTTACGAAGGAAGATCTTTAGCAGCTCTTAAGCCCCAACCTTTTTTTTCTGTAAGTATAACTTCCACATCTGCATGCTGTTTTCTCTGAAATCGTCTATTGGAACAAAAATCCCCATTTGGACATCGAGAGGAACTGAAATAAGAAGTGAAAATTAACTCTTTAAGCAGAAGAATCAAAGCACCTTCATTAGAATGTGTCATATAAATGTCTATCTTACAAGCGAACTGTTTTGAATAATTCATTCCATCACACTGTTATTCAGCCAAGTATATCTGCAATATAGCCTTGTCATTTGGTCATCACCAGAAAGGTTTGCCTACCACTCCCTAGTGTTTAGAACACTGTACCAGGCTATGTACAAATTACAACACTCTGACAGCTATACAGAATTATCTTATTTTATTTATATTTACTTGGTTTTCGCTTTTCATTACCAAGGAATGAACCTAAGATCTTTGTGTTGAGCTATACATTCCAGACCTCAGATACTCCCCTTTTTTAAGGGTGAAGTAGAATCTCACGAAGTTGCCCAGTCTAGGTTCTAACTTGAGATCTTTCTGCCTCAGCCTCCCAGAGTTCTAGTATTATATGTATGCATCCATCTTTTCCTTGAGACATGGTCCCAGCTATGTAGTTCAGGCCAAACTTGAACTCACATATAACCCAGGCTGGCCTCAAACTCAGCAATCCTCCTGCCTCAGTCTCCCCAGGGTTTGGATGATAGGACAGTGCTGGGATTATAGGCATGTGCCACCACACCAGATCTTATTTACCTGTACTTTCAACTATATCCCACTGTATCCATCATTAACTTGGTCTTTAAAATGTAGTTAACTACTTGATCTATATTTGAGAGAAACCTAAGTCATTGTTAGGTTGGAAGTAAATGCAATAAACAAGGCCATGCTCTTTAATGAATCTCAAAACAAAACATTCACTCAAGTCCTTATATTCTTTTTTCTTAATTTATGTATTTGGTACAGGGTCTCGCTACCCAGCTCAGACTCATAGTGATCCTCCTGTTTCAGCTTCCTCAGCACTGGGATTACAGGAGTGTGCCACCATGCCCTGGTGCCCGGGTTTCAGTGGCTTGAGTGGGCCCAGCACGTGTGGTACCAGGGATTAAACTACATCCTTGCACTTGCCAGGCAGGTGCTTAGAATGCTGAGCTGTATCCCAGGCCTGATATCTTAATATTCTAAAACTAGCAGCTATCAAGGTTCCTTATGGAGGGTAGAGTTGGTTTGTTTTATTTTTTGAGACAAGGTCTTGCTACTAGGTAATCCAGGCTGGTCAAAAATTTACAATCCTCCTGCCTAATCCTCGAGTGCTAGGATTATAGGTGTACACAATACCATCCCTGGCTCAATGGAGATTTTAACAGAGGGGCTGAAAGATCAGGGAATGGGGGGAGGGGGAGAAGAATTGAGATCTATCATATACAAGTACAAATTTTCTACGATGGATATGATCATTATGTATATCTAAAATGTATTAACAAGCTTAATTGGACAAAAAGAAGAAAAATTAAAACTGGGCATGGTGGTGCACAACTGTAATCTCAGCACTCAGGGTTAGGCAAAAGGATCTCTGAGAGCTCCAGGCCTGCTTGGGCTACAAATGAGTTGAAGACCAATCTGAACTGCACAGTAAACCCTAAAAAGACCAGGAAAAAAAAAAAAAAAAGACTGATGGTCCATGTTAAATAAGTCTAGAGATCTCTCTCTCTCTCTCTCTCTCTCTCTCTCTATATATATATATATATATATATATATTTGAAGTGATAAATTAGTGAGATTATTGAACACTAGATAATAAATTATACAATTCCAGCATTTGGGAGGTTGTAGGTGGATCACAGCAAGTTCAAGGTCAGCTTGAGCTACACAGGAGTAGCTGATGTACTAGGCAAGCCTGATGTACATAGTGAGACCTTGAGGCAAACAAACATACAAACAAAAAAGACCCACAGACATGTATGGGTTTGTATTTCTGGCAAGCCCATTGCCCTGGGCCGCTCATTGTATCCGATGCCAGAGCACTGTGGCCCTAAATCACTCTGGCCTCTGTGCCCACAGGCTGCACTGGCACTGAAGTAAGCTGTACAGTAGAATCTGGGGAAGATAATAATCATTTCTAATATATTATTATTTAATGTCAAACCAGTGGTAAATAATATTTTACCAATGCTCAAAGGATAGAGGATTACAGTAAAGCAAAGTTTACTAGGAGGAAGATTAAAACAGAATCTCTGTAATACATAGAACATGTGTAAAGGACAACTGAAGATAACAACTGTCCCCCTGCCTTGCGCAGAAACAGAACGAACAGCCAATTTGGGAGAAAAAGGACAAAAACAGCTGAGGCAACTGATAAGACAGGTACACTAGCAGAGAACGGAAAGGCAAGTTAACAATATACTATCAAGGGCTGTGAATACAAGGCTAAATTTGAGCCTAATTCTGAAGGCAACAGAGAGCTATTAAAAGTGTGAGTATGGAAATTACACTAAAAAATTCTACATTTCCTATCTGTCTAGCAATAATGGCAAGAAAACCTAGAAGTAGAAACTAGAGAAGCATTATATAGAACTGGGCTATCTCTACTTCTTAACACCTGTACTGTTATCTTTACCTTTATTTTAAGTAAAGGTATAAGAAAAATGCTTTCTTTTCCTTTTTAAACTTGTCTAATTTTTATACCATGACATGAACCAAAACAAAAAACAAGCTTCTGGGGGAGGGAACCTTCATTAACATTTAAAACAAGGTGAGATAGTTCAGCTAACTAAGCGGCCACTTTGGCAAGCGCAGGGACCAGGGTTTGTTCCTGGTCCCCCATGCCACGCCAGCAGGGCGCATGTGACCAAGTCCGGGTGTGGTGGTGCACACCTGTAATCCCACCCCTGGTGAGGCTAAAAAACAGGAGGATCACAAGTCCAAGCTGCTCCAAACTGCACTGTGAGACCCTCTTATCAAATACATAAATTAAAATAAATAAAAATCAGGTACCTACATCAATAGTTTTTCTGTTAAAAATATGAATATAACTTACATTGATCAGATTGGGTAAAAAAAAATTATCAAGTTTTCTTTTAGCACATTGCTAAGAATTAAACTCAGGGCCTCCTAAAAATTTTAAGCTGGTTGTGGTAATAGCAACACTGAGGGGCAGGGAGATAGCTCAGTAGAATAAGTGCAAGGTCCTGAGTTCAATCCCCAGTACCACAAAAAATAAAAAGCAGCACTGGCCGAGTGTGGGGCTACATAGTTATGTCAAGACAGCTTGAACTGCATAGCAAGACCCTGTTCCGATGAATAAGTTAATTAATGGGCTGGGGAGATAGCTCAGCAGTCTAAGTGCCTGCCTGGCAAGTGCAAGGACCCAGGTTCAATCTCCAGTACTGCATGTGATGAGCTAGCCACCAAAACCTGGCATGGTGGTGCACACCTATAATCCCAGTGCTGGGGAGGGTGACACAGAAAGATCACTGCAAGTCCAAGCTGCATAGCGAAACCCTGTACCAGATAAATAAATGTAAAGTTAATTAAGAAGGTATGTATAGCTCTGATTAGGTTTCATTAGCAAATTTAAGAGAATACATATAATACAAATAAAGAAAAACATATAAGTTGGCACAGACATTACGATTTTTCTGAAACTACAAACAAAAGGACTGAGGTTTGGGAGATGAAGACATTTCATTTTTACACATTTTTGACGTGTTAGGAGTTTTCTCTCATTTTATAGTGAAAGCTAAATACCAATATTTACTTCCCACAACACAAACACTATGAGGAAAAAAATGAGGACTGAATAAAAATTAGTATTACTACATTAATACCAGAAATAAGACTGTATAAAGCACTTAAGCTGTGCCAGATACTATGATATAATGTATAATGTACAAGAGAGTTATCTCTTTATTAATGTTTTCTATTATACACTGAAAGTTTTATGGCCTATAAAAATTGATCTGTAAGTAGGAAAAAAAAGTTAAATTTTACTCAGTCATAATTGTTAATATCTACAAACTTTTTGGGGGCGGGTATTGGGGATTTAACTCAGAATCTTGCACTTGACAAGCAGACACTTATACCGCTGAGTTATCTCCCCAGTCCTTACAAATTTAATAGAAAAGTTAATTAAAAGCAGAGCATTCAAGAGGGCTGGCCACATAGCTCAGCAGATTAAAGTGCCTGCAAGCAGGCACAGGGGCCAGGGGTTCAATCCCCTGCCCTACTGGGCCTGGGCTGGCCCTGGCCCCGCCCCCACCCCCACCCCCAGGGTGCACTGAGATGGCAATTGAGACTGGGCATAGTGGCACACACCTGTAATCCCAGTACTTGGGAGGCTGTAAAAAGGAGGATTACTACGAGTCCAATCTAGTGTTGAGACCCTGAATACCCTGTAGGCCCTTCCCTAAAATACAAAAAAAAAAAAAAAAAAAAAAAGCGAGCATTCTAATTTACTTACCACTCAATCATGAGGAGACGATTAAGACAATCTTCCCCACATGCTACTTCACCTTGAGCTCTTTCCTCTTTGGAAAGAGGTGCACACTCACACTGCATTCGCTTAATATCCCGGTGGGATTTATTCTTCTTTCTATTGAGTAAAATTTCATTACAAATTGTTAAATAAATCTCTGGAAATAGTGTACATATTCATGAGATGTTAATAAGATTTAATGTTAATATAAACAATTATATAAGTTATATAATAAATGTTATATTGAACATTAACATGTGTAAACCTAATAACATTTAAGACATTTTACATTTAATGATTCTCATACATCATTCAAAAGCAAGAAAACATCTAATCAGGGGCTGGGGAGACAGCTCAGTAGAATAAGCGCTTGCCTGACAAGCACAGGGTCCTGAGTTCAATCCCTGGTACCGCAAAAACAAACAAACAAATAAAGGAAAGAAAGGAAACATCTAATCACTAGCACCTGTAAGATGGAAAATCTCTTTAAGAACCACTCTGTAAAAGAGTAACAGGGCAGGCCAAATATGTCAGCAGATAAAAGCACATGCTTAGGCAGACCAGGGGCCTGGCATTTGATCCCCTGGCCTTCCTGCCTGCCACACCCCCACTCCCGGGGGAGAGGGGCACGCTGAGACAGTGATTGAGACTGGGCGTGGTGGCATGCACCTGTGATCCCAGAGCTCAGGAGGCTGAAAACAGCAGCATCACTACAAGTCCAATCTGTGTAATGGGATCCTGTAGATTCTGTACTAAATACATTAAAAAAAAAAAAAAAAAAGAATAGATGCAACTTTAACCTTAGCATATGGGAGGACTGAATGAGTTCAAATCTATCACTCTATGATGTACCCTTTCTCTTCTAGTTTAAGTCAGCTAAGTCTCATGTTTTGGTCAGTTTCAACTGTTAAAAGTCATACTGAGGGGCCTGAGATGGCTCAGTGGAATAAGCGCTTCCCTGGCAAGCTCAATGGCCTGAGTTCAATCCCTGGTTCCACCAAAAGAAAAAAAAAAAAAAAAAAGTCACACTGAGCTCAGGAAAAAAACTGAATTTTCTGAGTTTCTAATGATGACATAGATAGTACAGTTTAAGAATGAGATCTCCAGCTGAGCATGGTGGCATGCAGCACTCTGGAAGGCTGAGGTAGTGGGATACTAAGTTTGAGCCCAGCCTAGGCAAGTCTGCAAAATCTGAAAATAAAAAGGGGTGCTGGGGAAGAGGGAGCTGGAGGTGCAGTTCAGTGTAAAGGATCCAGATCCAATCCCCAGTACTGAAAAAAAATTGAAAAATGAGCCCTCGTGGAGAACAAGCAATTGTGGAAATACAAAGCTGAGAAAAAAAGTTGCTATATTTTTAACTAACAGCTTTATGGGCAACAGAACAAGCAAGACCTCATCGCAAATGAATAAAAATTTAAAAGAATAATAAAATATTTTAGAGGCAAAACTTTCTCAATACAGACAAACTTATTCTGGAGTAGAAAGAAACTTCAAAATTGTTTGGAATCATAAAAACAGGTATTGTAAAGCAAAAGCGAAAATGTGATTACTGGCCTTTTTGTTGTAGTTTACTTTCTTGTTTTTTTTTTATTTGTGTGTGTGTGTGTGTGTGTGTGTGTGCGCGCGTGTGTGGCCAGCTCAGCCCATCAGGGGGTGGGGCTGGCTGGCATGTGGTGCTGGGGGATTGAACCGCGGTCCCTGTGCTTTGCTAAGCTTGTTCTAAGTAGGTGCTTTAGACCACTGAACCATCTCACCAGCCCCATTCTTGTTTGTTTTTTTGAGACAGGATCTCACTATCTAGTTTAGGCTGTCTTTAAACTCACTCTGTAGCCCATGTTGGCCTCCAATTCTCAGCAATTCTCCTACCTCAGCCTCCTGAGTGCTAGGATTAAAGGTTGGTGTCATCTATTTTTTTAACAATGCTGAAAATTTTAAAAAGAAACTAAGGACAACCAAAAAAGATCTGCTTCAGATTAGAAAACTATAACTCACTAACAGGCAGCAAAGAACAGCTATTTTTCATAAATAGTTACCATAATTTCCTACCTCTACTCTGCTTTGCTGTTCAACACTTGTTCTTCTCCCGTTCATTTTATAAAATTCCTAAGGAATACTGTAATTATTTCCACTAAGTTTAGGTAAAAAGAATTGTTCCTCTGGACCAAAGGTACCCTAATGATGAAGAAAACACTTATTTCCATGTGTTTATAAAGTAGTTTTGATGACTCATTTGGCTAACAGGCACAGATTTTTGCCATATGTCCATTTTCACTAAACATAAGACTAATTTTTTCATTATATTCATATTACTTCACAAGAATGTGTGGGTAGCTCCTAAATGCTGAGTTAGCATATAATAGATGCTATATTCTTTTGCAAAGACCCTCTAAAATCCATCAACCTACTCAGACAATTACTAAGAGGCACTGCCCAAGATACCATAAATTTTGAACTGAAACCTAATTTACAACAAAATGTACGTGAACATAGCTGTAATGGGCTCTCTACAACATAAAAAAAAATTATTTAATAGAAAAAAATTATGGTAAACTCTAACTGTACATGAAACCTTGTACATTACCTACAATGGTAGAAAAAAAATTTTAATCTTTTTTTTTTTTGCAGAACCGGGGATTGAACTCAGGCCCTTGCGCTTGCCAGGGAAGCACTTATTCCACTGAGCCATCTCCCCGGCCCCTGAAAAAAATTTTTAACTTAACAAAATTTTGAATACGTTTAAAAGAATGATAGACTGATTCTCAACTTGGAGGAAATTTTCCAAGAGGAGGAAATGGCTAGGTAGGAAAGTAAATATATACAGATATAAAGATTATGTACACATATTTCATAATCACCATTTGCACATCTGTACAAAAAAATAGGATTTTTTTTCCAAAATTTTATTGATAAACAGATAGCAAAAAAAATAGGATTATTAAAGGGTTTAAGTTTGCTTCATAGACTGAGAAACTCTGCTCTACCGTGGACTGTTTTCTGCACCCATATTTTATAACTTTCTTTACAGAAATATTGGATAATCATTTTACCATTTTAAAATGTTAACACTGTTACCAAATTTAATCTATTAAGAATACTTATATCAGGCTGGGGAGATAGCTCAGTAAAATAAGTGCTTGCCTGGCAAGCTCAAGGTCCTGAGTTCAATCCCCAGTACCACAAAAACAAAAAAGAAAAAAAGAATACTTATATCAACTCACAAAAACTGTTGTAATCTAGTTCCCAGTTTATCAAAGTACAAAAAGATATTTCACTATGCATATTTTGGAAAAATAAAAAGTCCAACATAACCAGTTTCCCCAAGAGAAGGCTATTTTGCTGAAGTTTAATTTCATTTTTGGTCATGGTTTTACATTAAAATGAATTGGAAGGGTAGGCAAGATAGCTCAGCAAAATAAGCACCTGCTTAGGCAAGCACAGGGACCAGGGTTCAATTCCCAGCACCACATGCGGTGCCAGCTCCACCCCCCAGGCACACTGAGTCAGCTACACAGACCAGAAGTGGTGGCACATGCCTGTAATCCCAGTGCTGGGGAGGCTAAAAACAAGAGAATCACTACAAGTCAGAGCTGCGTAGTGTGACCCTGTATCAAATACATAAAAGAAAATGAGTCAGCAGATTAAAGCACCTGCAAGCAGGCATGGCAGGGGAGGGTTCAATCTCCAGGGCCTGCCATGCCGGCCCCGCCTCTGGAGCACACTGAGATAGCAACTGAGACTGGGCATGGTGGTTTGCACCTGTAATCCCAGCTCTCGGGAGGCTTTAAACATGCAGATCATGAGTCCAATCTAGTAGTGAGACTCTGAACGCCCTGTAGGCCCTTCCCTAAAAAAGAAAAAGAAAAAAGAAAAGAAAAAATACTTAAAAAAGAAATAAAATAAAAAGGAACTGGAGAGGGGCACGGGAGACAGCTCAGTAGAATAAGTACTTCCCTAGCAAGTGCAAGGGCCTGAGTTCAATCCCTGGTTCACCAAAAAAAAAAAAAAAAAAAAGGAACTGGAGAAACACTAAGCTAGCCTTAATGATAATTTTAAAATCAAGCACCAAATCCTGAGTTCGATTCTTAGTACCAAAAAACCCCAAAAGTAATGAGGAAAAAAATTTATGTGTTTTATAGTACAAAAATTATTATTTTTTTAATTTCCCACCATTCCTAGGAGGGGAATAGAGAAGTCTGGAGATAAAAATCTGTACTATTATATCCAAATCGTCACCAACACTTTTTTTTTTTTTTCCTTTTTGGCGGAACCAGGGATTGAACTCAGACCCTTGCGCTTGCCAGGGAAGCGCTTATTCCACTGAGCCATCTCCCCCGCCCCCACCAATACTTTTCATATAGTTTAATTTTACATTTTATCACAAAATTCTATTTCAGTCTGAAGTTTTGAAAAGTTAACTTAAAAAAAAAAAAGCTGAAATCATGAAAATTAGGCTCACCTTTCTGTTAAATAAACATTTTCTTCAATAAGATCAAAGTAACAAGGCATCTTCCCCTGCTTGGCACATTCCTTCCATCGCTGTGGATCCCTGAAGTCATCCATGACACAGGAAGGTCCAATCAGCTCAGAACCTGGAGCCACAAATGTCTCTCCCTGCTCTATATCCACTCTAACTTTCTTTCTGTCCTGAAGCTCACCATCACTTTCAGAATCACTCTCCAATTCCTGCCGCCGTTTTTTAGGAGGCCCTCTATCTTTAATGTCACTTTTTTCCAGGTTTTTTGAAAAATCTTTTCTTTCATTTATAGCGACAGAGTCCCTAACAGAGTTGCTGCTTATTTCAGGTGCTTGTACTGACCCTTTGTCCTTCTGAAGGGACAGAAGAAATTTATTAGACTGGCTAATAAAGTGAGATTCACCTCGTTGATCCCAATTCTCTTCCTCTTCATGATCATCTGTTAGAGAATCTGGAACCTGCCCTTGAATTCTATCATAAGTGATCCCAGATCCAGGAGGTCTACCTGCTGATCTTGGATCCCAGTAGCCATTGCCTTGCCAGTAGTTACGGTTCCCACCATACTGTTCTGCACTTTGTTGATACTTGTGTGCACCACAGGCTCCATAGCTGCTATCAGGTTGCTGGTATGTGGTGGTAGGCTTTTCTTGTTGAGAGAAGTCCCACTCTAGGTTTCTGAGCTCTTCTGATGAGTACAAGCCATCCATATGAGAGATATCACAAGAAGAAAAAAACTCTGTTTTTCCAAGTCTACTATCTGGCCTGTTAGGGAAAGTGGTCTGTTGCCGAGACTTACTTGGGATATCTTCAAAATCATCAGAAGAATAAACTGGCAGCTCTTCCTGTTGCCTAGAGGATGTTCTGGTTTTTATTATTTCTTCTGAATTTGAGTGACCCAGAAGGTCAGATTTCACATCTGTATGGCTTGTGCTATCAACACCATCATTCTGAGAATGAGCAATTTCAGGCAAGTGGTTATCTACTTGTTTTCTGCCAGACTGCATAAAAGAAATTTCTAGATTCTTCTCTGTACCTTTATGAAAGAAAAACTTTTCAGTTTGAAGACAGCCTTTACTTGCTATATTTTCAAACCTTTCCTCATACAAATGTCTCCTTGACTCCAATCTCTCATCTTCCCAATGGTCAGAATAATGTTTGTAACTCTGATTGCTCCGAGAAGAACATGGACTTGTTTCTTCCATAGGCAAAGTAGAATTCTTTGGCACAACTACAACTGATTGGAGACGGTTTCTTGGAATACTGCTGTCATCTGAATCTGTATCTTCTGAATCACTTTCATCACTTGAACTTTCAGAGGAACCAGAATAATCTTCATGGACAGTAGACACAATTTCAGGGGCATGACCACTACTATCACATTTTAAGGTGTAAGTTCCACTATCATTGTCTTCCATGGTTAAATTCAAATCACAAGAAGAAAGTACAACTTCTGAGTCATCAGATATGTGTGTATGTCCTCTTCTTCCTTCATCTAAAGGGATCTCTGGTCTTCCTCTTCTATCAAGCAATATGGAATTCCCTTCTTCCTGAGCCTCTTGCAAACATTTCCCAGATAGTCCATTATTATGCCTGTTTTCCCAAGAAGCAAATGCCTTTCCTGAATCAGGAAAGCCACTATCTATGTCTAGTCTTTTTTCTTTCCCTGTATGCTTTAGAATCTCTGTGCTTTTTCTACTCTTCAGCATTCCATCCAGAACTGGAGATGTGTTGTCATCATGCTGCAAAAGAGTCAAACTGTCCACTTTTGTTCCTGGGGGAAGACTCTGAAGAGACGAAGCAATACCTGAACTCCCAATAGGTTCATATAAATCATCCAAATGATTAACAGAAGCTGAACTAGTGCTACCAACACTCTGTCTATATTCTCCACATGTAAATTTTGAGTGCTGATCTGTCAGATTTCTCTTATCACATGCAACTGTTTTTGATTCCAAATGTACATTCATCAAGCTATTTGAAGAAATCTTTGTAACTGAAGGCTCAGTATTTTCAGCTTCAGAATAACACAAAGAAAGGTTATTCTCATTTGCAGTATAATACCTATCTGAATCTTTGGTTTTGCAGCAAGAAACTCTTGTATCAATTGGCTCTTTTACTACTGTTTTGGAATAATCTGTGGTCATAACTGGCAAAGACATGTTATCACTGCGTGGTAACACAAGAGGTTCTGTTTCTTTAAATGGACTTTGTGACTTATGCTGTATGCAAGTGTCCTCCGAGTCTTTTTCCTTGCACCTAATATTCTGAAATCCATTTGATGAAGACATGCATGCTCTGACCAAAGGAGATACTTCTGATCCAGTCACACTATCATCAGATGTCATCAAAACGGCATCAGTTTTAGAAGTGCAAAATACCACATCAGATTCTGCCCCAGGAGATCCATTTATATTTAATTCAATGGGACAAAAGTTTCTTAATTTATCATTCTTCACTTTAGATAAAGAGTCTAATTCTTTAATACTATCATGGCTATCATGTCCTATCAATTCTGACTTAAAAATAGGTGATTCATCTAGCTTTTTCAAAGTAGGTGAATCATTTAACCGATTTGATGGAGATGGAGATCCAGTCTTTTCTCTTTCAGGAATTTTACTAATTGTTCTTAATTCACTACCTTTTGAACAAGGAGTCTGTAAACTAAAAGAATGAGACTGTTTGCTTTCCTCATTTAATTCCGCACAACAGAAAGAATTTTTAAATTTGTCAGTCTTGGATATAGACTTTGAAAGGGCAGATTTATAACGGGAAGCACTATAATCATGCTTGGAATATGAGGACCCCCACCGAAATCCCAGGTCACTAGGAGGAGAACAACATCTTTTTATTGCTTCACTTTCTGAAGTCCTTTTGGATTCTCTCTCTAGTTTGGAAGAATACTTTCCTCTTCTCTCTATCTCTAAGTAAGAGGTCTCAGTCTTACAATCCCGATCAGATTTAGAATAGGACGATGTTCTCAGGTCTCGGTAAGAGGAGGAATGAGATGAGGTGCGCCTTGAGTATGTCTTCTTATATTCATCTTCAGAGTCAGAACTCTCTCGTCCCCTGTTATCTGTATACGGCCGAGAATAGCGTGTCCGCTCTCGATATGGGGAGCTCCTATGGTAGCGTCGATCAGAGTCATAATAATGAGATCGCTCTGATCGGGAATAGGATAAACTAGCTCTAGACCCTCTCTCAGATCTGGAACGAGATCTGCTCCTCCTTCGTTCTCTTTCTGATCTACATCGGGAAGATACATACCGAGTGTCTCTTTCAAGTTTTGAGTAGCTAAAATATTTGTCATCTCTTTCTGTTTTAGATCTTGAAGATTTCCCTAAATCTTCATTTTTTAAAGGTGCCGAGTTCTTTTTTATATCTCTTTCTTTTTCAATGCTTGCTGAAACTTTTAAATCATGGGATCTTTGACTGGAGGAAGTCCGTACAGAATCTTCATCAGATTCTGAGCCAAGAAATGTACCTTCAAATTGTAAATATTTCTTCTTAGAACCTGATTTTTTAGAGCTCAGACTAGTCTTAGAACTATCTGGAATTTCTTCTTCCTTCCCAATATGGGAATCTTCTTTTTGTGAGGGAGTATCTACTTGATCATTTGGATTTTGAATTATGTGTTCTTCTACACTGTTAGAGATAATGTCCTGCTTACTATCCGCTTCTAAAGACTCTTGTACAAGTGTAGTTGGCAGTTCTTTCAGAGTTCTAACTGCTACTTCTACTGGTAAGGACAATGGTGCTGCTGTTGGAACTTTTACTGGTGCATGTGGTGAGCATACTGGCTCTGTTATTGGTGCTGGTGATGAGGGTGCTGTGGCTTGGGGAGGTGGAGGAGGTGGAGGTGGAGATGAAGGTGGTGAATCTACAGTTGTTGATTCTGCTATGACTGCTGGTATCTGAACTGTGGAAGGAGATGGAGATGTTACTGCTGAGGTTGTAGTCAACAGTGGCCTGGATGTTACATGAAGCAGATGTTTTTTAAAATGAATTTTGCCCAATTCCACTCTTGATTTTGGTGGTGAAGATTCTTCTGTAGTAGCTGCAGTATCTCCAATGTCCACTTTAATTTTAGGAGTTGAGTCTACTTGAGATAAAGCAGGGGAGTTTGGTGTATCATTTTGCTTTTCATTGCCAAGTGCAGTGAGAAATCTATTCTGCAAAGTTTTTTTTGTAAGGCTGAAGCTGAATGACACCTTCTGTCGTCCTTGTTCCTCCAAATTAACTTTTGTTTTGGTGCCTTTGGGCAAAAACCGACTAGAAGCAACACCTTTGAACATTGGTCCTTTGATGAAACCTGTTTTCTGTACACTTTCAATCTTTGCCTAGAAATAAATGAAACAAAAAATTTCTAATTTAATAAACAGTAGTACTTTCAAATGATCACATCACAATTTAAAATGATCATCAGAAAAAAGTATTATTTTAATTTTGAAAAACATTTTTTGCTAGCAACAAGAACGAATTTTACTATGGTACAGATTTTTTTTTCCAACTACTATGAAATACTCAACAGTATAGAGGACAGTAAAATATACCACTAAATTTTCACTTATACTTTCAACAATTACCAGTATTTTCCCATTCTTGTTTTGCTTATATTTAAAAAAAAAAAAAAAAATCACCTGATTTTGTAGCTTTTTCCAGGCAGTGTTTTTCAACATGAAGTTTTTTAGACTTGGTATATATTTAAAGAACAGGAGCTAACAACCTACTATAAAGACAATTTGACCTTGTACTTTACCTGATTAGAAACAATGGAAATCAATAACACCTATGGCCTCCTAGCATCACATAAAATCAGTTGAGTTTATCATAAAAATACAGATCTGTGGGCCACAGATTAATCTTGGGGATTAATTCAGTAGTTCTAAGATGAAGCAAAAATGTTTGTTTGGGGTATTTGTTTTTATTTTCAGGGTGGGGGTGGTGACAAACACCATAAGCAAGTCTCAAAATCTTCAAACCCCTGGTAAAAGGCAGCCTCCCATCTCATTTATTTATTTTACAGACAAGGTAACCAAATGAAGGCCAAGCCTTCTGCCTTTTTGAAAATTATTTGCCTCAGCACATCATTCTACCTCTACATGGACCACACACAAACTTAGGTAATATCATTTTAGAGTCTGACTCTACTACATGAGTAATTAGATACACAATGATACTTCTCCCTCCATTATTCACCAAACCACCAAAGAAAATAGTGCAAATTAGAAGTTAATGGCATAACCTTTCTCAGTAGTGGGAACTATGGCATAAGTGCCACGGTAGGCTGTTTGTATCCCTGAAAGCTCTACAAGGTTTGTCAACATTGACATAGGTTGTAAAAGAAATTAAAAATCTACACCACAAACTCAAAACTAAACTAAAAATGATATTCTTGTCATCTAAAAATTTTCCAATGGATAATTTTTAATCAACTTTGGCTATTTAAGAATAATTTTTCTCTTCAACACAGTGAAATTCACCACCAATTTTTAAAAGTATAATTCAACTATTCAAATATGAAAATATTTTCATATACATTGGCACAGAATAGTAATTTTCAAATATTTTTCCTTTTTTTGGTGGGTATCAGGAATCAAAACTCAGGACCTTGCGATTGCGGGGCAGACACTGGGCCACTAAGATATATTTCTGGCCTCTCAAACACTTTTTTTTTCCCGGCAGAACCAGGGATTGAACTCAGGGTCTTGCACTTGCCAGGCAAGTGTTTATTCTACTGAGCCATCTCTCTGGCCCTCAAATATTTTTAAGAAATTTTACAGGGGTTCATTCCCCGGGCCTGCCATGCTGGCCCCACTCCCGGGGTGCACTGAGATGGCAGTTGAGACTGGGCATGGTGTCGCGTGCCTGTAATACCAGCATTTGGGAGGCTGTAAACAGGAGAATCACTACAAGTCTGACCTAGTAGTGAGACCCTGAACACCCTTATAGACTCTCCCTTAAAAATATAGAAAAAAAAAAAAAGAAATTTTAAAAGGAAGCTCTAAGAGAAAAACATCAAATCTGTCTCCAGAGCTGCTTTCATTTACCTTTTCTAGAAATCTGAAATAGACCTAATGTTTAAAAATTTTTTTAGCGGGGCATAGTGGCCCACATCTATAAATCCCAGCACTCTTGAAGGGTAGGGCAGGAGGAAGGAAACTTCAAGCACAGTCTGAGACAACTTCATGACTTAGCAAGACTGTCTCAAAACAAAAAATAAAAAGTGGGCTAGGGGTATAATCCTATGCAAAGGCACTGGGCTTAATCCGCAGTACTTCTGTGGGAGAGAGGGAGAAAGGGAGGGAGGGAAAAACTTCATACACATTACAGAATATATTTTACTAAAGTTACTCCAACAGAATAGAGCAACAGAAATGAGCTGCTATATCTCCAAAAAACAAAATCAAGAAAAAAGTATTACTTCATTTTATTTCATATTCAAAATGATAGCTGTAACTTTAAATGTTTTCAGCTGTTACCCAATGTCTAAAATACAGAGGTCAATCCCATAATCACTGAGTGATTACATTACACTTACCTCATTTTCTTCTTCTCTATTTCCATCCAGCCAAGAAAACATGCAAAAGAAAAGAAATTACACTTTAAACTGATTGAGATGAATATTGTTAAAACCAACTTAGTACCTGTAAGTGTATTTATTCTATCTGAACTATCCATTCCATGGCCTCAGATACATTCAGTTTAACAAAAATGGATTGAAGGCAGTAGTATAGAGATCAGAGGTAAAGAATAAAGATTTCCTGCTCTTAAGAAATTCAGTTTCCAGCCTAGTATGGTGGAGCACACCTGTGACCCCAGCACTCAGGAAACTGAAGTAGGAGGATCAAAACTTCAAGACCAGCTTGGGGTACAGAGTATGTTCAAGGCCAGTCTGAACTGGCCTTTGTCTCACACATGAGCACAGCACGGAAGACTCTGTTCTTAAAAAAACAAAGAAAAAAGGGAGAGAGGGAAGGAAACTAACTTAAGTTTCTGTTGAATTACAGAATATACTTTTTACTAAAGTACTCCAACAGAATAAAGCAAATACAGATAGTGTAGTGTCAAAGAAGCAAGCAATCAACTAATTCAGTGAGAGGGTAGAAATACTAAGAATCTTTCCTAAAGAGCGGATTAAGGGTTTTCTCCTTCAGGCGGGCCAGATAGCTCAGCAGATTAAAGCCTGCTTAGGCAGATGTGTGGACGGGGATTTGATCCTGGGGTGCTGTACTGGCCCCGCCCTCCGGGGGCACACTGAGACAGCAACTGAGACTGGGCATGGTGGTGTGCCTGTAATCCCAGTGTTTGGGAGGCTGAAAACAGGAGGATCACTATGAGTCTGATCTATATAATGAGACCCTATAGACTCTGTACTAAATACATTAAAAAGGGGCGGGGGGGGGCGGGGTTTCCTGCTTCTCTGCTTGTTTTGCTGTAGTAAGAATTGAACCAAGGGTGCTCTACCATTAAACTAGATTCTCAGCCTTTTTAATTTTCCTTTTTTTCAAGATGTCTCAGTTGGATGACATGATGCATACAGGAGGTCCCAGCACCCAAATGGCTTAAGTAGGACAATCACAACTTCAAGGCCAGCCTGAGCCACACAGTAGGTTCAAAGCCGACCTGAAGCATATAACAAGACCTTGGCTCAAAAAAGACACACACACACACACACACACACACACACACACACACACACACAAACCCAGGTGACTTTAAACTTGTAATTATCCTGCCTCAGCCTCTTGAAATCCTGGGAACATACAAGACTATACCTCCAAACCTGGTTAAAGGATTAATTTTGGCTGTAGGGGAGAACTCACAGGGGCATGGGGGGGGGGGTACAAATGTCTCTCTCACACACACACACGAAGTATATATGTTTTATGTCTACAACAGTTCAATGTTTAATCTGGTATGGTGGAATTCACCTAGCACTTGGGTGGCTGAAGCAGAATGATCCCAGATTTCAAAGCCAGCATAAGCTACATAGTAAGTTCAAAGCCAGCCTACTACATACACAAGGATCTGTCTTTAAAAAATAGTCCTACGCTACTTGAGTATAAGGTTATTGGCAAAAACAAGCCAACAATCAAGTAGAATAGGGAGCAGTGGCCAGGTTCACAAATTAACTTTTTCTATCTTATGAATTAATCAGTGACTCTCAATATTTTAATTTTTAAAGATTTTTAGGGGCTTGCCAGTTAGCTCAGTTGTTTAAAGTGCTTGCTTGGGCAAACTCAGTCAGGCGCAGGAGACCCCAGTTCCATCCCCAGTTCCCCATGCCACACCAGACCTGCCCTTAAGGGAACCTGAGCCAGTCAAAAAAAAAAAAAAAAAAAAAAAAAAAAATCCTAGGGCCTGGTAGATAACTCAGGAGAGTAAGTGCTTGCCTGGCAAGCACAAGGTCTTCAGTTCAATCCTCAGTATTGCAAAATAAATAAACAAGTATTTTTGAAAATCACTTACTATTTATTTATTTGGCACAGGGTCTCACTACACAGCTTGGACTCGTAGTGATTCTCCTATCTCAGCCTCCCTAGGGTTGGGATTACAGATCTACACCACCATGCCTGGCTTCAGTTGGGGTTCTAGAGCCAGCACAGGATGCAGTACTGGGAATTGAACCTTGCACTTGCCAGGCAGGTGCTTAGACTGCTGAGCTATCTCCCTAGCTCTGGTTCTCAATATTTTAGAAACAATTCAATAGTCCTTTTGCTAAATCCAAGATGCTCCAAATCACAGGACATCTGCTCCATATATCCTAGTGCATGGCTCATTGAGCTTAAAGGTAATCCTAACTGGGAGGAAACGAACACCAAAAATCTTGGATATACTAAAGCACCATACTATGCTGAAGAACTATCTACACCAGGGAGAAGGTAAACAACAAAAAGGCCTGACAGCCAAGCAGGTATTTCAAGCTGACTGATTTGTAGGCTGTGTGTGGCAAGAATCAAATACAACAATCTTTTTTTAATATATA